TGATGTCTAAAAATCAGTATGCCTTGACCAGATGCTGAATATGGCTAACTTTTCTATCAATGCAGCCAAATAAATACCACTTGGTATTATTAAACACTCAACTCAGAGCTTCTCTCTTGGAATGCTTCCCTCTTCTTCACCACCAGAGAGCAGTAGCCCATTGAAATCATTGCCAGAGCACCATCACTTTGGATCGACATTGAAATGGAAGGCATGTCTGAACCAGTAAGTTGCCCTCTCAAAACGATGAGAAATTTACATTTTTTTATTCAGGTTTGACATTTTTACCTCTTTTGTTTTCAATGATACACAAAAAATGACATACAAGATGTTCAGATTACTTTTTAATTTTTCAAGTTTATCTGAACATAAGTTGTCATCATTTGTTTTTCCATAGAAAGTTATCATACTAAGACTTATTGTTTCTCGCCAAAAAATAAATAAATAAATTGGCAAACAGGAAAAGGCTTTTTAATTTAAGTTACAAATTAAGGAATTTTACACTATCTGCCCGAATGCAGGATGAGGGCTTTGTCTAATTGTTGCAGGCTCATCCTTCACTACCTTTAATTACATTTTTCAAATAACATGACGCAGATCATAATCTCTGAAAATAGCAAGTCAATAAGTCGATTTCTTAAAATCAAGGTCGAAATTTAATGCATGAACATGTTAGTAAGTGATCTCTTCTACATTTAATATGACCCTACTGGTAAATATAAGATAAAGAAATTTAAAAAAGATACTACATACACATAGTGAAAATGGATGCAAATGATAGTTATACAATAGTTCAACAATCGTCTGCTTTTTCTCACATTTTTCAGGTCATTTGTGTCTGAGACAAGCTCTCAAACAAAACAGCTATTTACATAATTATCTGGTAAATAATGATAATGCTCTCCTCTACTGAATCATTGTCATTTTTTGAAGGAAATTGTGTGTGCGAGACGCAGGAACAAAAGAACAGTTTCACCAGACAGTAAACGTTAACCAGAGGGGCACTTTGTATAAACTCACATGGTCATTGTGTTGATGATTACAGAGCAGCAGAGGGCTAACATGTCTGTTTGGAGAGGGGTTCCTCCTGTGTCCTGTGCGCGTCTCCATTTCCACGACTGTAATATGGGAACAAAGGCAGACCAGATGTGAACCTCCGCGCACACTTCTGTGTATGTGCAATTTAGTGTTTCGGCGTGGGTGATTTCCAATTGCATTCTCAGCTGACACAGAAGTAATGTCAGACTACCACAGACCTAAACAGTGGTTTTGCACGCTGAGCCGCTGCTTTCAGGTGCTCACCTCCTCAATAAGCAACAGGTTGTGTGTGGTTATTGAGATAGTGAGGAAAGAACACAGAATGACAGGAGGTCTGGTCCTTTCATTGATGCTGAGTGTTGAAAGCCAAAGTACAACAGCTGTGCTGTGTGTAGACAGGCGAGGAAATGGCTGTACACTTAGCAAGAAATAAGCAGAAATAAGCAGAAATAAGCGGAAATAAGTAAAAGTACCACACGAGAATGTTCAAATAGACGCTTCTACAAAAACCCCAACAGCAGGTATTCTAATCCCATTGAAATGTTTGCAGAGTTTTAATAGGTGACTTAAGGGCCATATTGTGTTGGCTGTATGCAAAGGGGAATCATAAGGCACAGTAGTATGAGATGTATCAGAAGCCCCCCAGAGGTCCTGCATCCTTCCATATGTCGAGGCTTTGTCACCACTGTACGAATTCAAATTCCTTCCTTTTGACATTGTTGAGCCTGACTTTAACTGTAGGCATTCACACAATCAACATTTTCTCTCCTCAGCACTGTCGGCTCTTCAACAGTGTCAAAATGTGTTTTGTTTTTGGAGGATTTGGTGGAATGATTTGTGGATGTTATTCCTCTAGGCAGGCAAACATAACCATCAAGTACGGCTTTTCATACATTTGTCAAAACGATATATGAAACCAAACAAGAATATTAAGCCTATTTTAAACTAAACATTAGAACAAATCAATACATGCCATTCTTTGTGTGCTCCTTTGGCCGAGTAATAACACTGAATACTTATATGGCCTTCTGTAGCATTTGTTCATCCAGCTCATCACAAAATGTATTTTCGGATAAATTCGTTCTGACTTTAGGAAGTTATTTCATCACTTTTCACATATATGCCAAGATTTTATGCAAATGTTACAACATGAGGTACCTGACCCCTGCACTCTCATTAGCTGACAGTTTTGAATTTTTCACTGAGCCATGCAAGCTCAAACCCCATAATCTCCACGTGGAGTCTTATCAGAGCAGAGCAGCTGCTGCGCTGAAGGAATCCCTCTCTACTGTGTGAATGCAATGAATATGAGCCTGAACCTTCCGAAAGTTTCATTGTGCCTTTCAAGTTAAGAGAGTTGGGCTGCAGGTATGAGCCGAAATATCACCACTAATTAGTCAGCTGAGGATAGAACAATGTCCACCCACGCAGAGGGTCAGAATAATGGGAGTCGGAGAAGCAGCTGCTCATCAAGCCACATTGTTTTTCTATAAAAGTCATGCTGGGAACAAGCATCACGGTTTAGAATTACAGGTGAAAATATGTTGCGGTCTCTAATTTCTTTAGGCTAGTCATGATCTTTAGGACCTTACTCTGTTCCATATCACACCCTCAGTCTGCAGGATGCTGATTGTTTTATCAGAGTGCAAATCATGCACTCATCTGAAAGATTTTCCAATGTGAAGACACAAGAAGAATGTATTTGAGAATATGAGGAAAATGACATCTGGAAAAGCTGGAGTTGCTTTGTACTTTGAAATAACAAGGCACTGGAGGGCCTCTAATCACCTGGCATTTTAAAAGTAGCCCGAGATTAACTCAAAGTATTCACATGCAGCACTTTTAAAGATGGGTCAAGATTTTTAGAAGCAACTGTTTTAAAGGTAACCGTGTTTGTCAAGATTCAACTTTTGAAATATTCACCTTAGAAATTTGTAATAAGTCTTAAGATCATTTAAATCCCTCATTTGCAGAAAATGCATGAACTTAAATGTACATAGATTCTTGAACACCACACTGTTCCTTGAATTAAGTGTTTGCAAAGACATCGAAGTTATTTGCCTTCGTTAATAGCAGCATGGCTTCTGGGCACAGTTTGAAAAACAGCCATAAATCTCTTTGATGCTAAATGTCAATACAGATTAGTAAATGAAAGAAAAGGTTCTGTGATATTATAAAAACACTGGTTTGCAGAGCAGAGATGTTTATTGCCTTGTGATGATTTAGTGTAAAAAAATGTTTCGTTTTACTGTTCAATCTTTCCACAAGGAACACCAAGGACTGTGTAGGACACGGTGTATTTTCTTCTTTCTTCACCAGACATTTGTGGCATCTCTTGGTCTGATGGTGTTCAGCGTGTATACCACATTCTCTATTGCTTGTGACGATACTTTGGAATTTAATTTTTTTTTTATTATACAGGGTCACTGGGAGATTTCCTTTCCTTAGCTTAAGGGAAGTTCAACATAATCTAGAAGCAAACTCTGAGCTTCGTATATGTCTGAAAATAAACAGCTAAATAAATTAATGGATGGATGCATACATGAATGAAAATAAGCAGCCATGCCTTCTCATTGTAGCTCTCTGCAGGGAGTGTGAAAATACAGTGAAGCAAATGAGGAAGCGCACTACAGAGGTTTAATAAGCCAGCAACAGACTGACTAATGACACTGTCCCTTAATTACAGAATAAAGCCCAAAGCCAGACATTTTCTAAATCAGTTTTACAGAAGATATAACATGCAGCCATGTGCTGGGGTCAAACTGGACCAAGGCAATTCAGTCACACATATAAAATCACAAAAGTGCACAGCAAGATGAATAATCCTTCTGATTTATTATTAAGTTCCAAATCTTTAATATCCAAATGATCTGTTTTGCCTATTCATGCACCATTCATATGATGGATCTTCCTATTTCACTTGAAAATCTTCCGTAATGGATTTTACTGAAGTGCAGCTCTTAAAATCTATAGAGGTATAGAGCTCTGATAATTTCGCAGCACTTTTAAATGACATCTTACAGGTCAGCACAGTACTGTGTAATTTTTTTCCACAATGCTTTGATTCAATTTAGACACTTAAACGCAAAATACAGGGAAATAATTACACATTATGAATGAAACTTCCAATATGCTCATACAACCGCAGCAGATTTTTTTTGTTATCTAGTAAGGTGGCAGGCCATTGCTTACCACCCCTGTTGTTGGAGCACTTATGTCACCATTGCTCAACAGTTTTTAGGTTTCAGGACCGCTTTTAACAAATTTACAAAAAAGTAATGAGCACATGGATTATTAGTGAAAGAGATGATTAGTTGAAGTTGGATGCAAAACAGTCTGTATGAAGCTTCATATCCACCAATTATATAAGCCTCTCATTTTCATTAATATATAATTATTGCATATGACACAGTGGCACTGCCACCGAGGGGATGTGTCGTACCTTTTCTTTTTTCTTTTTACTAATCCAACTTACATTCACCTACTTAACACAGGCCTATAAATTGTGTAGTGGAACTGTTGAGTACCAACTTCAGTTTGACATTTGTTCTTGATCCCCTGTAAAGTATTTTTCTGGCAAGTGATTGTTAATTGTAGCACAGGCTCTTACATCCAACAATTTCAGCTCATCTTCTGGTCTCCTCCCCCCCCCTGTGACTGTCAGCTGTGTTGCCCATTAGCAGTACCGCTGAGGTAACAAGCCTTCAAAACCCTCCAATATATGCAGGGATGGGCGGTAGCGCCTCACGCAGCGCCTCTCAAGTGTCTCAACTTAAAACTCCTGCGCGCTATTCTCCCCCGGTATGACGAGGTTTCGGACGGATAGACGCACGGGAGCCGCCGCGCACGCATCCTTCTGACTCCCGGCACTTTTGGGGATTGTACTATCTCGGTTTGAAAGAGATTGATGCATTGACAAGCGGCAGCTCGGAAGCCAAGGGGGGTGCTTTGGTTTTGCGAAGATGTTGTTCAGCAGACTTCTCTTTTGCTTTGCAGTAACAGGTTTCGCTTTCGCGCAGCCCGACAGCTCCGGATTATTTTACGCACTCCGATCTGAGCTGTCAGAAGATGCTATCTTGGTGGCCAATAACGGGATACGCGTGCCTTTCGGGAGGTCGGTGTCCATCGATCCCATCAACGATCTGGTGATCCAGACGCAGCCGGGTGACCGCTGCAGCATCACCGTCCTGGACAATGATCCGCTCTCACAGAGACCGGGCCATCTCTCTCCCAAAAAGTTTCCCTGTGATTTCGGTCCCAGTGACGTGACGTATTCCCACTACGGCTCAAGGAGTCCATCCAAAGACAGAGTGAGGCTGCAGTTGAGGTATGACGCACAAACCGAAACCGTTATCATCCCGTTCATGATGGAGGTTGAAGTAGTTTTTACGCAGCTGGAGTTACTTACCAAAAACATGCCTCTTATTGTTGACACTCTCAAAGGGATCAGTAATCCCATAGATAAGAAGGTTTTAGAGTTTACATATGACAGAGACTCTTACAAATGTGAGGTGACGTCCTTGTCCAGCAGCAGCGGTCTGCCCAGATATGGAAAACTAATAGATGGTGGTAAACTTTCCACAATGATGGACTGTGATGAGTTCATGCAGGCTGATATCCGCTATGAGCACACGTTTGATCGCAAGTCCCCCAACAGGGACTATGTCCCCATGGTTGTGGAGCTGCATGATAAGGAAGGCAACCTAGTCAAGCAGGAGTACTTCCATCTGATGATTCGCATTAAAAAGGGAGAGGACAACACTGCTCCCAAACCCAGCTTTGTGTCCATGATGATGATGGAGGTAAGCCAGTTTGTCATGACTGCCCTCACACCGGATATGCTTGCGGCTGAGGATGCAGAGTCAGACCCAGAAGAACTTATTTTCAACATCACTTCACCTCTATCTTATGAGGAGGGCTACATAGTCAGCACAGATGACAGAAACCTCCCAATATCATCTTTCTACCAGAGAGACTTGCGTGATCTGAAAATAGCTTATGTGCCGCCCTCACTGGACTCAGACACTGAAAGAATTTTCCAACTTGAGTTTGAGGTGTTAGACACAGAGGGGGCCGTGTCAGTCCCCTTTGCTTTCATGATTGTTGTGAAGCCAATGAACACCCTGGCCCCTGTTGTGACACGTAACACAGGTCAGCTGCTCTATGAGGGCCAGTCTCGGCCTCTGATCACTACTCATAACCTGGAAATCAGCGATGAGGACAACCTGGACGCTGTCACGGTCACTGTGGTGGACGGGCTACGGCACGGCGACCTATTGGTGCTGGGATCGCATAAGAAATTCTTTACAGCCGCAGACCTTACAACAGGAGTTGTTGTGTACCAGCATGATGGGAGTGACACATACAGTGACAATATCGTCTTCAAGATGACAGACGGGAAAAATGAGGTAGAATTCCTCTTTCCCATCACAATCGTTCCCACTGACGATGAACCTCCAATTATCAATGCCAACACTGGTCTGACTCTTTTCAAAAATCAAATGATGCCTATTTCTCCTCTCATGCTCAGTGCTGCCGATATTGACTCTGAGGACTCGACAATTAAATTCACCATTGTTTCCCCTTTTTCCACAATTGGCACTGTGCTCCTCAGACAGACAGATGCCCCAGAGGATCCTTCTTCCTGGAGGTTTAATGCAGAGGAAGAGGTGTATGAGAAGGAGGTGAAAGAGTGGCTTCAAAAGGACATCACAGATGGAAAGCTGTTTTACAGGCACACGGGCCCTCACAACACGGACACAGTCATGGATCAGTTTGTGTTCACAGTTCAGGATGACAATGACCCCCCTAATCTTTCAGGGGAGAGTGTGTTTATTATTCGTGTTTTACCTATCGATGACGTGCCCCCTGAGTTGTTTCCTGGCACCACCCTGGAGATGACTGTTGAGGAGTACAAGCTTACTCACTTTAGCAAAGAGGTCCTGCGCTACACTGATTTGGACTCTGAGGACAGGGACCTGAAGTACACAGTTATCCAGCCCCCAACCGACACGGATGAAAATAACCCGGTTTTGTTCGGTTCTTTGGTTCTGACTGATAGCCCTGAAACTGAGGTCACAGAGTTCACACAAGCTCAAATAAACCATCATAAGATTTCCTATGCCCCCCCAGATGTTGAGCTGGGAATCACAGCCCATGTAGTGCAATTGCGTTACACCGTTGAAGACACAGCTGGAAACAGTGTGGAAGGGGCTTTCACCATCTACCTGCAACCGGTCAACAACAAACCTCCCCAGATTACGAACACCGGCTTCACTGTGTTTGAGCATGGCATGCACATGATCACCGTAGCTGAGCTGGATGCCACAGACCTTGACACAGAGAGCGAGCAAATAACCTTTTCTCTGAGCCAGCTCCCCAAACATGGCCAGATTCAGGTTGCATTCAATAACCTGGAGAAAAAAGGGGTTTTCAGACTCAATGATATTTCAGAGGGGAAGGTAACTTATATTCACAGAGGAGAAGAGTCAGTGAGCGATGAGTTTCTGCTGGACATCAGCGATGGGATTCACTTTGTTCCTGTGACAGTGAAAGTTAACATTAAGGCCGTCGACGACGAAGCTCCAACCGTCAGCCTGCCACTGGGAACAATTGGCTCTCATATAGATGTGCTGGAAAACGGAGCCACGGAAATCACAACAAACGTGATTCAAGGCCATGATGATGACACAGATGATCTTCAGCTTACATTTATTGTAGAAGACCCTCCAGTTTTGGGCGAAATATTAGTTAAAGGACTGCCTGCCACTAGGTTTACACAAGCGGATATAATTAATGGTGTGGTTGTATATGCACATACCAGTGGTGAGATAGGTCTCACTTCAAAGCTAGATGGATTTAATTTGACTCTGACTGATATGTCGGATGATTGGACTGTAGGTGGAAATCAAGTCAGTGGTGTCCATGTTCGAGTTGCTGTTCTTCCTGTTGACAATCAGGCTCCTGAGGTTGGAGTTGGGATTCAATTCAGTGTAATTGAAGGAGAAAAATATGCCATTGGCTCTCAGCATCTGAATGCTGATGATAATGACACTCCGACGGATGATATACTTTGCACGATCATTGTCCAACCCAGCGCTGGCTATGTGGAAAATATATCCCCTGCCCCAGGCTCTGAAAAATCAAGGTCGGGAACAGCTATCAGTGCTTTCACCATCAGAGACATCAGGGAGGGAAATATCCACTATGTGCAGAGTATCCACAAGCGGGTTGAGCCAGTGGAGGATAGATTTACATTTAGGTGTTCTGATGGCATCAACTTCTCAGCTAACCATTTCTTCCCGATTGTCATCATCCCAGCAAATGATGAAAAGCCTGAGCTTTACTTGAGGGAAATAGTTGTGATGGAGGGGATGAACGTTGTCATTGACATTCCACTTCTAAACGGAGCAGATGCTGATATTCCGACAGAGGAGCTGATGTTTATTATTTCCAAACCGCCAAAACATGGTGCCATTCTAAACCAGCTATCTACAGGGTCAGTTTTGGTGACTAATTTCACTTTAGACCAGATTAGAGAAGCCTCAAGTATTATTTATGAGCACGATGACTCAGAGACAACAGAGGACGGCTTTGATGTCATTCTGACAGATGGAAAGTACTCTGTGCAGAAAACAGCCATGGTCATGATCATTCCTGTGGATGACGAGACCCCCAGAATGAGCATCAATGACGGACTGGAGGTGGAAATTGGAGAGACCAAAGAGATCAACAATAAAGTGCTCAAAGCAACTGATTTAGATTCCGATGACAGTATGTTGACATATGTAATCCGGTTTGGACCTACTCAGGGTCTCCTGCAGAGAAAAACCCCATCTGGGTCTTTAGAAAACATCACAGTTGGCATGAATTTTACTCAAGCTGAAGTTGATGCAGGACTCGTTCTTTATAGTCACGGTGGTCAGGAGGGCATCCGAGACTTGTTTAAATTTGATGTTACAGATGGAATTAATCCACTCATTGACCGTTACTTCTACATCACTGTGGGCAGTATTGACATGGTTTTTCCAGATGTTGTGAGTAAAGGTGTGTCTCTGAGAGAAGGTGGCCGGGTGACTTTAACCACAAATCTACTGAGCACCACCGACCTCAACAGCCCCGATGAGAACCTGGTCTTCACTGTCACCCGGGCCCCTGTCAGGGGTCACTTGGAGTGTACAGATAATCCCGGGATACCCATTGTGTCTTTTACTCAACTTCAGCTGGCTGGCAGTAAGATTTTCTACATCCACACCTCCGATGATGAGGTAAAAATGGACAGTTTTGAGTTTGAAGTTACTGATGGCTACAACCCTATTTTCAGAACTTTTAGAATCTCTATTGTGGATGTTGATAATAAGAAACCTGTAGTGACTGTAAACAGCCTTGTTGTCACGGAAGGGCAAGCTAAGCTTATAACACCATTTGAGTTAACAGCTGAGGACCAGGACACAGCTGAGAAGTTGATCAAGTTTACCATTACCCAGCCACCTGTTCATGGCAAACTACTCTACAACCAGTCCTCACCGGTCACCAGCTTCACAAAACAAGACCTCAACGAAAACCTTATCAGTTACAGACATGATGGAACTGAATCATCTGAGGACTCATTCACATTCGCTGTGACTGATGGCACACACACTGACTTCTATGTTTTCCCTGACACGGTCTTTGAGACTAGACACCCTCAAACTATGAAGATCATCATTGTGGCGACTGACAATGGCGTCCCGCAGATAGTGGTGAACAAGGGGGCACCAACTTTAAAGGTTTTGGCTACAGGTCACCTGGGGTTCTCCATCAGCCCCAAAGTTCTGAGGGCAGAGGACAGAGACACTCTGCCAGCCTCCCTGGTGTTCCACATCACAGCGCAGCCCAAACATGGCTATGTCGTTAACCTAAGACATGGAAACAACTCCATCGACACATTCAGTCAAGGTAAGCTCAAAACCATTTTCTTTATCATAATGAGTCATGCTGCACCAAATTGTGTTAGAAAATGTGAGATGTTGATGGGTAGTTAGGTGTGTTTGAATTATTATCACATTGTGGTTAATTTACATTTACATTTATGCAAACAAAATATCATAAATAACAGTGCCAATGTCAATCCCTGTACATTTTAAACCTTGTTTGTTATTTTACACCATTGTTCCCTTTCTTTGGTAATGGAACAAGTGGTTTTAATTAGGATTTTGAATGATCAGACTTTAAAGTTTTCTTAATGTGTGATTTGATAGTTAAGAGAAACTAAGAGTAAAGTTAAAATTCCCTGCAAATCATCACTTTTGATTTACATTTTCACACAACAGCAGCCTAATTTATGGAGGTATAATTATTCGCATGTGTGACAAATACTGGCTTGGGAATTTCAATAGTTAATTCGTTAGCCCAATTTAGATGTGCCATGCTCATCAAATCATAATTAGCAGACCAAAGTTAGAGACTGATGTTTAGTAGATGTCATAAATTACTAATGCATTATTTCTGCATCTCTGGGGAAATGTTCACATCTGAAGTTCTCTACAGAGGTCTGTGACATGAAGCTTGATTCAGGTAGATGATTGTGTGAAAAGGTCAGCACTGAGCTCAAAGTGACAGCGTGGTATTTGAGGTTTGGC